CTACAGGTGTCTGGAAAATCCTACTGATACGTAGGATTGTTGACTGTTGGGTCCCAAAATGTCTATATTTTCATCGTTTTAAAAAAAACCCAGCAAAATACATAAAATCCACCATATTTTTGACTCTTTTGCGGTTTATCCATCTATGTTTTATTTGTTCAATTAAAGTCAACAGATTTTGAAAAAAAAAAATCCAACGCTGCCATCGTACGACCCTTAACTCATGGTTCAATAGGTTATCATTGATAAGATACCATTTAATTTTGAAAAATCTTCATTAAAGTCATTACATGTTCGCCCCATGACCCCATTTACAATTAAGCTTTGAACATCAAATCTAAAAAAGTTGCAATTGTATTTGAAGTTTGATAATTATTTGGTTTTTCGGTGGACACTTGGTAATCAACCTTATGTGCTAAGGAGAATTTTCATTAGAATAAGTACATTATGATATCATTTATTATTAAAACAATTTTTTTGTAATAATAAAGTCCAAAAGGCTTGGAATTGTATTCGATTTAATTACGTAGGTATCCCATTTCTTACTGGCATTGCAGAGGTGAAGTCTAGATGAATAAATTTCATGCTTAGTTGGTGTTTGAGGTGTTCTGAATATGAAAGAATAGCAATTTGTCACCCCCCAAACCATTCTTTTGAAATCAATGGCTTCGTCTTCCTCAATGCCCAAAGTATATGCAAAGTCTCCATGAATCAGTTTTGCAAAATATTAGGGTTAGGTGAGATTCTAAAGATGAGTGTGATAATTAGACTTCTTGGACTCCAAAAAACCAGGATGCAGAATCATAAGCTACCCTAATTTCATAGTAAAGCTACTGAATTCCCATTTTCCGTTAGTAGCTTATGTTTTAGGTTATAAAAGTGAGAAATCTTCATAAATGTTTCTATCATGTAGGATGAAAAGGACTATAATTTTTTTTTTCCTTGGAATGACCTACATTTTTCTAACAAATGGTATAAAGACAAGATGTTGGAAATGCATAATCTTGCAAATGATGGGTCAATCCCACAAGTTCACATATCACACTCAAATGATGGGTAAATCCAACACCATTTGTAAGATTATGCATTTTCAACATTTTATCTTTAACCACTTGTTGGGAAATGATGAGTCAATCTAAGAAAAAAAAAACTATTGACTTTTTCATCCCTCATTATAGAAAATTACAACATTTATGAAGATTTCCTACTTTTATAACCTAAAACTTGAGTAATGGAAATGAGAAAATTTTGTAGCTTTACCATGACACACATGTACAAACGGTTAATATTAATGTTTATTGGTTACATCAAAGCAATTGGTTGCCACCATGGATCCTAAGTAGCAAAAAATTAATAAAAACTAAAGATTGCGAGTTCCATACCTGCTGCAACCTTCTTTGGTGGGAGTGGTTGCCACGTGTAAGTCAAGGAGATGATGCTATTTTTTTTTCTTTTTCTCACTTTAATAACTGTTTATTAAATAATATAGTTAATAAAAAGTATAAAACTATATCAAAATTTATAGTTTTTAATTATTTATATATAAAATAAAATATTAATATATGTTTTCATATGTATTTGCAAGTCTGATATCGAATGTATTTTTTGTTATGTTAGTTGTTGAATTTGAATTTGGTTGGTTGTATATATAAATGAGAAAAAAATATTTTTTAAATGAAAATGTGGGTTGTGATTGGTTCTGATAAACATAGTTTTAAGGCCACAACGCTAACTAAGCACATAACTTATCAATCTGGAATCCACCTCATCAATGCCACCAAAATAAAACAAGATAACCTGGTAATTTATCAAAATTGAATACATTTGTACTATCACATATTAAGAAATTTAAATGCTATTATAGATGCTTCTATTTCGTTTACGATCTTAAGACTAATATGCAAAATTCCAATAGCTAATCAATTTGCATGACTACAATTGGGTTCTCTGAAATTACCAAAATGCTAACGTTTTTGGGAACAAAAAGTTTCGTAAAGATATGATCTTTGAAAATGTTGTTCTTTTTTCTTTCATCTAGTTAGTATTTAGAAACCCTAAAATGTCTGTAAGTTAGAATAACTGGATTAAAAATCCGATGGTTGCCATTACTTTGTAAATTCTTTGTTGCCAGTTTCTTTTTAATTGAAAATGTAGTCGTTAACAAAAGTTGATACTTAAAAGAGAGAAAAATTCATAAAACCAACTCGATCGCATGGTTTTCCAATTTCAATAGGGTTATTATTGGACAATACGGCTATATTTAAACAAAATTGAAAATTGAATGATTTGGTTGGTAAAAAGATAAAAAGCCCAAAACGTAAAATAGCAATAATCAACAAGACAACAACTATTATGTTTTTTTATGAAAAAAATCTAATATACACCATTATTCTGCTTATATATCTATATTTTTTTCGTATTAAACGGGACTCTAGCCCTAAACATTTGGTTGATAGATACTTTTTTCATCAACTTGGTGTACGACAAAATATATTCGGCCCCAAGACATTTGGACAACTATTATGTGACATAAACCATTTATATTATTATATATACACACAAAAAAAGTACGTGCATTCCATCAAATAGATTTCATATTATTCTTTCCATTATTTAGAACACGAAAACTTTAGTTATTAGTTATTAGTATCTAAAAGTTAAAATTCATGACCTTACTTTTCATGTGTAGTCATGTAATGTGTTCCCAACTCAGATGCATGAAATTTCAAGCATGATATATACCTTTTATGTATTATGCATAAGAAGTTGTATCATTAATAGAGTTTTTCTATTTCTTTTTTTTAATTTTATTATTATTATTTTTTTCCCTAACGGCAGAAAAGTGGCATCATGTCATGAACATCAAAATCTTTTTAGATTTTTTAAAATATCATATTTCGCAGTTACCTTTTTATATTAATGCAATATTAATATATATATTTTTAAAAATTAGTCCCTATCGACATCAACAGTTACCTTTTATACTTTTCAACAAATATCTTATTATTTTTAACTAATAAATATTCATTAAAATGTATAGATATAAACCGTTAAGATTGTAAACCGGTTTTTTATTTAGATATAAACATGAAACATTGTTTTATATTTTTACATTAGATTATAACCCATGTAATACACGGTTATATATATTAAGATAACATAGATAATAATTATAACAAAAATATTTTAAACAAATTTATAAAAGGGTGTTTATAAAAATATTAAAAAATGAAATCATACGTGGGACAATCACTAATAAGGTGTCCGGGTTGTTGATGCTTATGGTCACTGCAATCTAGACTCTTAGGTTGTTTAAGTTTTATGGTTTGACTTAGGTCTTGTTAACTAAACGTCGTAACTTCTTCATATGATCTTGGATTTAATGCTCTTTATATCCACGCGTCAGTATTTGAATCTACTACAATTTTCGTTTAGATTAATCCCATTAAAAAGTAATATATTGTTACTTACGATTTTACAAAAAAAAAAAACTTTCATACATACATTCAGAAAAACGCATGGATATAAAGATCGTAAGTAAAAATATATTATTTTTTAAGGGGAGTAATATAAACGAAAGTTGTAGTATACTTAAATACGAACATGCATATATAAAGATCGTTAAAATCCGAGATCATATGAAGAAGTTACGACGTTCAGAACACAAGACCTAAGGCAAACCATAAGACCTAAACACCAAAGGGTTTCTAGCCTAGCGGTATCAGATGTTGCTCTTCCTCCTTGAGATTGGGAGTTCAAGTCCCGTCCAAGACATAGATGAATTTAAAAGAGTAGTTTAGGATTAGATTAGATTTGTCATTCAAAAAAAAAAACCATAAGACCTAAACAACCAAACAACTGAGACTGCGGTGACCATAAGTATCAACAACCCCGAACACCTTATTAATTATTGTCACACGTAGGAGTGAGAAAAATCTAAAGAAACTAGTCATAAGTACTAAATGTGTACAAAAACAACATAAACTTATTTTGCAAAAAAAAAAAAAAAAAAAATTAAGGATTAAATGTGCATAAAAATATTAAAAACTAAATATGTACAAAGTGAAAAATATATAACTATTAAGTCATTTTTTTCGGCTTACCTGGAGTAGTCGATCATAAGGACTGAATGTGTACAGTTTAACAAGTTGGGTAAATGTAGATGAAAAAAAAAACTTAGTAACCAAATATATACAAATCAGAAAATATATTTCCGATCTAAGTCATTGTCCTTTCAATAAATATAAAAAACTTGTGTTAAATTTGAAGCTTTCTTGCAAGAAATGTAATATTTTAAAATTAAATTTACATCTAAAATTTGAGAAAACATAAAGAATCAAATCAAAATTAACCTAATTCATCGATGGTATTTTAATTATCACAGAGTTTTATTATTTTATTTAATAAGAAATTTCATCTTATTTAATATTTATTATGGTTAGTATCACTACCAAATTGGTCTTAGGACATTCAAAAATCTTTGTTTAAAATTTAAATTATCGTTTGTTACTTAAAAAAAAAATCATTTGAACCATCCTAACTGTATTTTATTTTGAGATTTCGCGATATTTTATTTTATTAGCAGACCTTGTTTTTAAAGCGATTGAATAAAAATTTCTTTGATCACTTATTAAATATATATATAATATATTTTTAATGAATTTATATCTAGGAAACTTATTTTGTAAGATATCTTAATCTGCTCAAATTTGTTTTACATCATGAAAAGTTTTATAATTTTATTAAAACATCAAAAACATTAAATGATTCATATCATTCAAGAATAAAATATAAGAACTTATTTAAATACTTTATGATTTCATTCCATAACAAACAACCGAAAGAGCAAAAGCAATAACTTTATTCAGAGTGAAAACTAGAAAGAAGATAAGAATAACAAAAGTACATCTTCACTAAAGAAGAACAAGTGGAAGAAAATCAAAATTTCTATAAACACAAAATCAAAACAAAACTAGAAATCATAATAAGTTGTTAACACCCTATAATCTGTTCTTGTAATGACACGTTTGATTTGAAATTCTTCGATTTGAAATATCGATGTTCAAATCACACGATGACACAGAAGTGATGTGAATGTTGAACATATTAAGTATACGAGCTTTACCGGAGATCTTAGTGTAGGTAGACACCGGCAAGCTTCCACTGATGACATCACTATAAACATCAAAATTCGTCAGCAACCGATCGGCAAAAACAGTGAGCGTGAGATTCAATCGCTTCGTATCATCGGAACCAATCTCACCGGCGGGAATCGGAACCTCACCGATGTCTTTGTCTTTGTACAGGAGAATCGCTGAGCTGTTTCGGTACTTGACACCGACCTTGTTAGGGTTTTTAATCGAGATGTCAAGGTCGAGGGAGATGTTTAATGAAACCCTAGGCGGAAGGAGGTTAACAGAGACATCGAAATCGCTGATGGCGACGGAGTTGACGGAGGTGACGGGCTTCTTGGCTTTGAAGACGGTGAGAGCTAGGATCAGAATGATTAAAGCAAGGAGAACTATAACGGCGATTACCGACAGACAGATGCATCTCCGGCGTTTGCGTTTCCGGCGGTGTTTGTCGTCGGCGATGATGGTTGTGAGTGGCTGTTCATCTTTTTTCTCGACATCCATGTTTTTTGTTGAGTTGTAAAAATTTCAAAGTTAGAATTAAATATTTAGGGATAGGAATTGTTGACGAAGGGTTTGGGAATTTAATGGGAGATCGGTTAACGGTTGGGTGTTTTGGCTCCATACTTTTTGTGTCCGTCCAAAGTACTCCCATTAAATGCTAATAGAAAATAATTTATTTTTATTAATTTGTTTTTCTGTAATTAAGAATTTTATTACTTTGGAAAATTATGTAATTTAGATAAAATATATTTATATAACATGTTATCATTGGATACTTATTGGGACTATAAAATATTTAATAAAAATTTGATAGGAGAATTGCCAGCTGAAAAGAATCTTATAAAAAGAAACAGTCAAACGTTATTAGAAGGAGATTAATGGACCACAAAAGAACTATGAATATTCTTGTTTGCATTTTTTTTAGATTGCAATTTTTTCAACAACTTAATAAATATTTTGCAACAAATTAACAGTAATAATGAAATTTAAATAAATCTATCATTGATCAGGACAACATATGGACGTCTTGTGGGCAACATATATAAAAAACGCACTATAATCGTTAAAACATGTTATGCGTGGAATTAGAGGTGACAATGGGTCGATCTGGGTTGGATTCGGGTTCAACCAATTTAATAATTGGGTTGAAAATTTGAATCCAACTCAACCTGTTTATTTAAATGGGTAGATATTTTCAACCCAACCCAACCTTTTAGATAAATGGGTTGTCACCGGGTTGACCTGTTTATCTAGTTCCCACCCAACCTATTAAATAAATGGATTAAACTTGAGTTAACCCATTTAAAATCAATTAAATAAATTATATAATTAAAAATTATACCACTTAATTATAAAACGTAAATAAAACTTCATAATTATGACAAAAACACAATCTTAATTCATAAATACAAATAAAATTTTCAAATAACATTAAAAATACATAGTTTCACAGTGATTTTTGGAGAGTGACCAGTATTATTGTCGCTAAAAAAAGATGGAAATTAGGATTGAATTTTATTAAACTTAGATAATAATAATGCAACATTATAATTTACAAATTAATACTTTGATTAATACATGATAATATTCAAATAATTATATATATATATATATATATATATATATATATATATATATATATATATATATATATATATATATATAAGTTAAATGGGTTGACGGGTTGAAAACAGGTTAATAATTATTACCCAACTTAACCTATTTAATTAAATGGGTTAGACGGGTTGACCCATTTAAGTTAAATAGGTTGAAAATCTCAACCCAACCCGCTAATTTTGGGTTGGGTTCGGGTTGGGTCGATTTTTGCCAGCTCTACGTGGAATAATAGTTTATGTTCAAGGCAAAAGTAATTATTACCTGCAAAACATTAAAATGACTAAACAAACTAGGGGTAAGTAATTGAACCGGACCGATTTAACAGAAATTATTGACCTTAGACTGGACCTATTAAGGCTGGCTAGGTCTGGTTTCCGGTTCTTGGACGTAAAAATGAGCATTTGGACTGCACCGAATCGGATCGACTCTTAAACCGGACCTGTTTTGCAGAAATTGATGGACCTTGATCTATGTCAATGTGTATTTCATTGGACCTCTACAAGTACGAGACAATTCATCAAATTGGCTTGATTTCAGACATTCCTCCCCGTATGAATAGTAATGTTTTTGACTGGATAAGTAAGAAACGATGTGGATTCAACGACTTTATCATCAAGTAAAGAAAAAAAATTCAGTGGGTGAGAACATGATATGATTTGGATTTTATTTTTATTTTTTTAGTGAAATAAATGATGGGTTTTATAGGTTATAATAAACATGTGAATGCGGAAAAACGCTTAACACTTAAGGGCACATGCAACCTATAAATGATCTATGTCTTTAGAAATAATAACTACATACTATGAATATCAAGAACCCTATTGAAAATTAGAAAAAATTCAAGAGTAGGGTTTATATACCTTAGATTTATTATAGCAAATAAATCTCTTGATCCTTTCTTTTGGTTCTTCAGAAAGCTAGCTCCAAAAGCTTAGTGCCTCTAATGGCTTGTACCCAAGCCCTAACAACTAAAAGACAAGATGAAAGAGGAGAATGGATGCAAATTTCGGCTATCCTTTTGTTATGAGAGAGGAGAGTGGATGCAAATATAATATATTAATAAATCACTTATTTCAATTTTCAATTAGTTTATTATTCATGTAATAAACTAACAAATTATCCTCTCTCTCCAAATGTCATTCTACTTAGATACTAGTTACGAAGGCAACCCAAAAATGACTTTTCTTTTAATTAAAAGTATATAACAATTTAGTTATGAGCTTAGACACCTTAATCCAACAGTCTCCCAATTGGATAAATCTATAACTACAATTGCAAGTATAACCTTGAACCAAACAACAAAGTGTGCTTTTCGAAGCAACTGCCGAACTCTGATTCAAATCAAATGTTGGCCCTAAGATAAGTGATAAACTATTCCTTCGTTCTTCATGATATTGTATGGACATGAGACATGGATTAGAATCAATCTTATATTCTAAGATTCTATTTCTCGATTTTTCGATTTATGACGACTGAATTCAGATTACTAATTGAACACATCAATTTAGTTCGGGCTTGGCTAAGCACTTCAGATGACGGAAACAAATCATCGAGGAGCTCAAAGATATTGCTTTTCCTGTTAATGCAAAAGGAATGAATAAACTTTTACTACGTACCTGTAACTTTTACTTATCAAATCATACATGATACTACGTTTTATAACATCATGTTACTAATGCATTTACTCAACACCAATGTACAACCGACTTGCAAATTACAACTTATGTATCTCCGTTTGAAGAATAAAAGATATTATTGTCTTAAAATTACTCGTGATAAAATCCATGAAGTAATCTCTCAGCGTGGGTTTATCCAATACTAAAAAATCTCTATTTTCAAAGTACTCATGAATATTGCAGCAATCCCATGCAATGTCCAATCTCTATGGACAATCTACAATCGATTCATGACAGTCTTAATTCACTACTTACTTCCAAAAGTATTAACGATTGTGGATTTTGAATAATAAAATTATCCAGGAAGTAAAACATGCAAAGTGTAACACAATAATAAATTAATTAACTATGGTATCATACCCACTGAATATAAATAAATACCTATTAATTAATCACCATAACAATTACAAATTTATTCATTGTATATTGTTTCGAGTAACCAATTACAAATTTATTCATTGTATATTGTTTCGAGTAATCAATTACCACTTGAATTAAATAACATCAGTCATATCATGTTATGAACATACATACTATGTCTAACTATAGTCCTTCCTCCGTGAATAGATCGACTGGACATAATCCAATGTTGATCATTTCACAAATCCAAATTCTTATCGTTATCTAAGATGTAGTGGAATTTCATCTTTACATGCATTAACCTTCTGCGATGTCGAGATTCTAAAGTTATAGAGAATGCGCCTTCGATATTGCAAAATGTTCCTGTAACATCCGAATCTCGAGGTATGAATTTTAATTATGTTAAAAAAATATGGTTGGCCACGATGTGGTAATGGTATCACCACGACGTGGCAATTTAGTTTAGATCCGCGCATTTTAAATGGGTGCCACGACTTGGTTGTAAGTTGGCCACGCCGTGGCGACCATTTTGGGCCAAAACCCTAATTTTTGGACTTTTAGCCCTATATAAAGGAAGTTAAGGTTAGGGTTTCCTCCAACCTCAGCCTCCATCACCCTTAAACGAATTCTTGTCCAAACCCTAATTCTTTTGGAAGATTTTGTGCTCATTTTGAGAGTTTTTTGGTGGTTTTAAAGGAAGAAGAAGAAGAGTTGGTGCCTTGATTCAGTAAACAAGTCTTTCCTTCACTCGTGTGCATATTCTGGACTCTTTGTAAGTCCTCAAGTTTCCATCTGTTAATACCTTTCACCTTAGAACTAGGATTTATGTCATATTATGTACCTTTGATGTGGTTTGTGTAGCGCCCGCAAGATAGGGATAGATGATTAAAAAATAATGGGATAATTATTCTTCACGATGATAAATATATATTTTCAATAGAAGATTATTTACAAAAAATAATCTAAACAAAAGTCATAGTAATCGTTAAATTGAGAGCGTACATATAGACAACGTCCAACTCTGACTTCGTGAGAGAAAGTTATGATTTTTCAAAGTTTCAGCGTAGCAGTATACGACTCAGAAACCGAAATTTAAATCAGCCGATTGTTAGAAAAACAATCTAAACGAGAGTTGAAGATCTCATTAATAGGAGTTCGTCGATATAAAGACAGTCGAGAACGGACGTCGGACGAGAGATTATGAATTTTTAACGGACTTTAACAGTCTAATCCTGTTAAAAATTTAGCTTTAAAAATAAATTCAAAATTAGCCGACGGAGTCTAAATGAAAGTTGTATATCTCATTGATAGGTACGCGTAGATATAAAATGCGTCGAAAACGACGCCCGTATGAAGAACATACAAATTTTGGAAGTTTTATAAAAAATTCGCGTGCAGGCGCGCGCGCCTCTGACAAACCACAAGACCGCGACATGTGTCACCACCCAGACGACGCCACGTCAGCACCCCTGACCAAGTGCGCGGCGCACACCCGATCAGGTGCACGGTACGCATCCGACCAGATGCGCGGTAAGCATCCCAAATTTTCCTATAAAATACTGTGAATTCTCCTCATTTCTTCACACCTTTCTTCCTGAATTTCTCTGAAACACTTTCCACCCTTAAGCCCTTTTACTCTCTAATTTCCAACTACTTTAGCCAGTGAATAAAAGCTCGCGGATCAGAGTTATGCCCGCATAATTTCCCGATTTTCTCTGAGAAATTCTGTAAGTTATGCTACACTTATTTTATTTAAGTGTAACTTTTAATTATAGTTATAGTCGTTATTATGAACCTATAATTAAGATTTATCAGTGATTCCAAGTAATTATACTGATTGATCTAGTT